CCGCTACTGGTCACTTCAGCGTAGGTGGTTGCGTTCTGGTTGTTCCAATAATCCACCGCTTATTGCTTGTTCCGCCTCTTGGGTGTCCTCTCCCACTCGTTGGGCTCGCCATTGTTAAGTTGCAAAATCGTGGGAGATCTCTAGCGACATTCATGCAAATACTGCGATGTCCAATCGGAGCATGTCGTTTTGCCGGACTGGTGGAGGAAGAAGCCGCGCGGCCCCCAAGAGGCCTCCAAGATGGCCCAAGAGGCCTCCAAAAGGTCCTCCAGGAAGGCCCGACGAGGCAAAATCATTGATTTTCCTAAGGTTTTTGAAAGATTCTGGCATTGCGCCTTTTCGGCTTTCCGACGGCCCCAGACGGCCCAAGAGACCCCCAAGATCGCCCCAAGAGGCCTCCAAGATGGCTCTGTGACGGCCCAAGAGACCCCCAAGACTGCCCCAAGAGGGCCCCAAGACGGCCCAAGAGGCCTCCAAGACGCCCAAGATGGCCTCCGAGACGGCTCCGAAGCGCCCCAAGAGGGCTCCAAGTCGGCCCAGAGAGGCCCCCAAGACGGCTCCCGACGGCCTCAGACGTGCCAGGTACCCACCAAGATGGCCGAAATTGGCTCGAAGCTGGCCCAAGACGGCCCAAGAGGCCCCCAAGAGGGCCTCCAGGAAGACCAGAAGAGGCCAAAATATTGATTGCCCTAAGGTTTTGACGGATGTTGACATTTGCTTCTTGTCTGCCTTCTGACGGCCCGAGACGGCCCAAGAGCCCCCAAAGATCGCCGAAAGATCGCCCAAGAGACCTCCAAGATGGCCCCAGGACGGCCCAAGAGGGCCCCAAGACGACCCCAAGAGGCCCCCAAGACGGCACAGGAGGCCTTTAAGACGCCCAAGATGGCCTCCAAGACGGCCCTGGAGCATTCCAAGAGGGCCCCAAGTCGGCCCATAGAAGAGGCCTCCCAAACAGCTTCCGACGGCGTCAGACGGACCAGAAGCCCACCAAGACGGCCGAATATGGCCCTAAGATGGCCCAAGACGGCCCAAGAGGCCTCCAAGAGGGCCACCAGGAAGGCCCGAAAAGGCCAACATCATTTATTTCTCATGCGTTTTGAAGGATTGTGGCATTTGCTTTTTTTCTGCCTTCCGACGGCCCGAGACGGCCCAAGTGCCCCCAAAGATTTCCCAAGAGGCCCAAGACACGGCCCCAACAGGCCCCAAGACGGCCCAAAAGGTCTCCAAGACGCTCAAGATGGCCTCCAAGACGGCCCAAGAGCCCTCCAAGACGTCCTCCAGGAAGGCCCGAAAGGGTCAAAATGGCCTCCAGACGGCCAAGATGACCTTCAAGATGCCCACGTGTTCCCCGAAGGCTTTCCAAACCGATTCGGGGAACACATGGTGCGACAGCTTGGCAGGTCTGGCCTCGACGTCCGGCCACATGGGCGCTTCCAAAAAGGCAGGGGGCGGCGGTGATTCGACGTAAGCGTCTTCGATCCGCCGCCCCCTGCTGGCTTGCCACACGGGTGCCTGGCGGACTGGATTTCTTCCGGTTCGGTGTCGGTCCTTTCTCCCAGAGAACTCCCCCCCGGGGGCCTCGGCCCGGCGCGCCAGCCACGCGAAGGCCGCAGAACGGCCCGCAAGCGAGCACAACGCTCACAGACAACATCTCCAAGACGGCTCCAGATGGCTTCCGAGATGGTCACGCGTTGGCCCAAGATGGTCTCCAAGATGGTCTAGGTTGCCTCCGATTCCGCCGAAGACGCCACCAAGATGCCTCCCAGTCCGCCCAAGAAGCCTCCAAGATGGCCCAAGACGGTCGGTCCAAGAGGCCTCCAACACCCCCCCCAAGACATTCTCCAGGAGGGCCCGCAGAAACAAAAAACCATTGTTTTTTTTCCGTAGGCTCACATGTAGCATTTGCTTCTCTCGACCTTCGGACAGCCCAAGACGGCCCAAGAGCCCCCCAAGATCGCCCCAAAGATGGCCCCAGAGGCCTCCACGATGACCCCATGACGGCCCAAGAAGCAACCAAGACGGCCCCAAGAAGCCTCCAAGTTCGCCCAAGACGGTCCAAGATGGCCTCCGAGACGGTCGAAGAGGGTCCAAGATGACCTCCAAGAAGGCCCAAGATGCTTCCAAGTCTGCCCAAGAAGCCGCCAAAACGGCCCAAGACGTCCCAAGAAGCCCTTAAGAAGCCTCCAAGACGGCCCAAGAGGCCAAACATAGGCCCGCAGGAGGTGCCGAAGAGGCTTAAATCATTATTTTGTCTTAGGTTTTTGAATGTTAACATCTGCTTCTTTTCTGTACGCCGCCCTCTGTTGATTTATCATAAGGGTCCCTGGCGTGCTGAACCTCTTACGGTTTGGTTTTGGCCCTTATTTCAGCAAAAAACTCCCCCTGGGGCTTCGGCTCGTCCCGCCGAGCATCCGGAACGTACCGGAAACGAGCACAACGTGCAGAAACAAATCTCCAAGACGGCTCAAGATGGCGGCCAAGAGGGCAAGATAGCTCCCAAGTTCGCCCAAGAAGGTCCAAGATGGCCTCCAAGACGTCCCATGAGTCCAAGATGGCCTCCAAAACGTCCCAAGAGGGTCGAAGATACCTCCCAGCCCGCCCAAGAAGCCGCCAAGACAGCCCAAGCTGGCTCCAGGATGGCCTAAGACGCTCCGAGACGCCCTCACGAGGCCTCCATGACGTTCCCAGGAGGCACCCAAGAGGGCCTCCAGGAAGGCCCGAAGAGGGCCAAAATCATTGATTCCCCGTTTGTTTTTCAGGGATGCTGGCATGTGCTTCTTTTCGGCCTTCCGATGGCCCCAGACAGCCCAAGAGTCCCCACAGATCGCCCCAAGATCGCCCCAGAGGCCTCCAAGATGGTCCCAGGACAACCCAAGAGGCCCCCAAGACGGCCCCAAGGAGCCCCAAGACGGCCCAAGAGGCCTACAAGATGGTCCCAAGATGGCCCCCTAGACGGCCCTGGAGCACCCCAAGAGGGCCCGAAGTCGGCCCAGAGAAGCCCCAAGACGGCTTCCGACGGCGCCAGACGAGCCAGGAGCCCACCAAGACGGCCGAAGATGGCACTAAGACGGCCCAAGGCGGCCCAAGGAGGTCTTCAAGATGCCTACAAGAGGCTCCCAGAAGCCCCCAAGAAGGCCTCCAGGAAAGCCCGAAGAGGGCCAAAATCATTGATGTTTCCATTTGTTTTTGAGGGATTCTGGCATTTGCTTCGTTTCGGCCTTCCGATGGCCCCAGACGGCCCAAGAGCCCCCAAAGATCGCCCCAAGATCGCCCAAGAGGCCCCTAAGGAGCCCCAGACCGGCCCAAGAGGCCCTCAAGACGGCCCCAAGATGGCCTCCAAGACGACCCCAAGTCGGCCCTCCAAGACAGCTTCCGACGGCGTCAGACGGGCCAGGAATGCCCTAAGACGGCCACAGACGCCTCCGAGAAGCCCCCCAAGGCCCCCAAGAGGCCCAAGGAGGCCTTCAAGATGCCTACAAGAGGCTCCCAGGAGCCTCCCAGGAGTCCCCAAGAGTGCCCCCAGAGGTTCCCAAGATGCCCCCTCCTTTTTCCTCCATCTCCCAAATGTTCCCCGAAGGGTTTCCACAACGGCTGGGGGATCCCATGATCCGATATCTTGGCAGAGCTCTTGCCACAACGCTCGGCCGCATGGGCGATTCCAAAAGGCAGGAGGCGGCGGTGATTCGCCGTATGCGTCTTCGATAGTTATTGAAACAAATCCACCGACCGTGTCGGCGTGTGGAAGACGCTGCTCTGTTTGACTCGACGTCGTCGTCGTAGTCGTCGTCCTTGTCGTCGTCGTCGTCGCCGTCGCGTTTGACCCCCCTTTCCATGGGCTCGTCGCGCTCCCCCCCTTTCACCGAGCCCTCCTCCTCAAGTGAGCCAGCCAAAGCGAAACAAAGCGAAATTGAGCAATGTAGTAGTTGAGTCGACGGGAAGCCCCTCCATTTGATCCCTACCCACCCTGGGGGCGAGGGGTCCGGAGGGGGGGGGGTCCAGGGCGGGGGGGGCCCGGTTCAGAATGCCATCCTCCCCCAGAGGGTCCAGGGGCCCAAACAGCTCCCAAGACAGCTCACGAGGCCCCGAATCGCCGAACAATCGGCCCAGGACGCGAGAGGTGGCCTCCTGACAGTCGAAGCGGCTTCCAAGACGCTCGAAGAGGCCTCCAAGAGAACACCAAGAGGGCCCCAACAGTCGAAATCACATGATTGTCTTATGGATTTTTGCAAGATTCTGGCGCTCTCACCTTGTCGGCTTCCCGACTCCCCAAGACGGCCCCAAATGCCACCAAGATCGGCACAAGAGGCCCCCAAGAGGTTTCCAAGACGGCAGCCAGCCTCATCCCCCGCTTGCGCTGCCGCTGCCGCTAAGCTTTCCAGGATATGTGCCTCCCTCCTCCTCCTCCTCCTCCTCCTTTTCCTTTTTCTCCTCCTCCTCCTCCTCCTCCTTCACTCGCCCCCACGAAGGCCCCATGGATGGCCCGAAGAGGCCTTCCCAAGACACGTGTTCGAGAGATCGCTCTGTTCACCTTGGTTGCTCGCTTTGTTTCACCATCATGTGTTTCTATTCGTCCCTTTTCTCGTCAGATCTCATGGGCAGGTTTTGAGAATGGGCTGGTGGAGATACGCGAAGCGTGAAGAACTTACAAGAGGACCTACAAATTTGAAAAAGCGCCCAAAAGGGCCCAGATACAGCCCAACAAACGCAAAGATGCGCATCTGAAGCCCATGACAGCCCAGTACGGCTCCAAGGTCCCCAACACGACCACGAGAAACCAAAGGCAGCTCCAGAGAGCTGCCAGGCAGGCCAAGAAGTACACAAGACGACCCCAAGGAGCCCTAAGAGAGCCCCACCCAAAAGGAGGTCGCCCAAAGGGACAAACATGCCCCGAGGTCACCCCCATGAGGTCCGGAGAGGTGCCACGATGCTCCAACGTGGAAGTTTCGGCCCCAGGGGGCGGCGTTGACTCGTGGGAGGCATCGACGATATTCAGATGAGTGCGCTTTTATCCAGGTAGAGCGTTAACACCTCGATCTGGCTCCGCTGTCATAAATTTCACGAGGCCCTTGAATCTTCAGGGGCGCTGAATCTAGCAAGCGCCCGCTCGACTCATGCCGACGTACCTTGCGGCGGGCTGGTTTGCTTTGCAAACGCGAGTGGGCGCATATAGCAAGCACACGGGTGTAGAATATTCTCACAGATGCCCGATGTCCGCCAATGCGCGAGAAGAGAGAAACACATGACTCGGTACGCAGTGGGCAAATACATGGCCAAGCCAATCGCAGAGTGCCGAATTCGGAAAACATGATGCGAGAAAAATCTCAATCACGCCGTGACGGACCAGTGAGCATGAGGACCCTGGGGAGCCGAGAGGCCCAGGGGTGCACAGCCGAGGAGCGCATCCACATCCACGACTTCGTGGGGCCCTGCCCCAATCGGCGGCACGCCCAGGAGGGAGGGCAGCGGGAGCGGGCCTCCTCCGAAGACTCCGACGGCCCGGGAGAAGCCCTCCTGAGCTCTGCGTGAGCCTGCTCTCCGAGGCCGCCGAGGGCCTCCCGGATGGCTGGAGCGGGCCTCCGAGGAGCTCCGCAGCCTTCCGAGGAGGGCCCCCCCCCCCCCCGCTCACTCCCCCCCCCCCCCCCCTCGGCGCGACGCCGACGTCCACCACCCCTCGGGGCACGGGAGGCACGGCTCCGAGGCAGTGAGTGGGCACTCTGCCCCGGCGGAGGGAGAGGCCCGAGCCTTTGCGGCACGGAGGGAGGAACACCAAACGGCACGAGCACAAACTCTCGAGGCTCCGCGCGGACTCCTCGGATCTGCGCCGAGCCCCACGAGCGCGCCAGGGGCGGCGCCCAACGCCGATCCAAGAGATCCGCACGGAGCTCCAGCCATTTACGATTATGCCGTCGTCGTCTTCTTCTTCTTCTTCGAGCAGAGGGTGGGCCCTACCTACGCCCTCTTCCACTGCACCTCGGGGGGGCCCTCGGCCTCGCCCCCGGCGTCGCCCCCGCACTGGCCGGGCAGGCCCTCCGCCTCGGTGCCCAGGATGGCCTTGAGGCTCCAGCCCGTCTGGAAGATCGGCCCGTACGGCATCTTCCAGTTCCAGAAGAAGGGCTCGATGCCGATCTCGGTGAAGGCGTCCACCTGCGCGGCGCGCTCCCCCCGCGAAACGCCGGCCACGACAGCCCCCGGTCTGATTTCCGCCGACCGTTTGGCTTCCAGCGCAAGGCACCACGGGTGACACAGGTCGTTCGGGAACCTTGGAACGCCGCACAAGCCGACCTACAATAGGTGAACTCATGCTGCAGATCGTGGCCCGAACAGCACATCGATAATGCAGTTGCGACGGGAGGAAGGAGGGAGGAGGACGAAGTAGGAAGGATGAGCGCGCGCTTTTCTTGCTGAGGCTTCTGACGTGCTCACGCGGTGGCGGAAGCGGTGCTGGCAACGCGCTGCCCGTCTCTGCGCAGTGAACGAGCAGCGATGGACAGATGACCCTGGAGGGGCCCTCAGCTCTGCAAAGAGAAACAGCACAGAAGGGGGAAGAGGCGAGGAGAGGAGATGAAGCATTACACGTCGGTCGGAAGAAGTAGGTGAAAACATGAAGTAGGAAGGCGACTTAAGTTGATTGGGTCCAGGCCCCCCCAGGGAATCACAAAGCACAGCAAGAGCGTACCGATTCTTGAGGTAGGAAGGCGCTTGACGCAGATTGGGATCTGGGAATCCAGAGATACCTACTTTCAGCGACCAGCGTGTACAGTCGATCGGCATTCTGCCCAGCGCCCACCTGCATCTGGAAGTACGAGCGCGTCAGGTCCAGGTCGCGGCAGGCGGTGGGCCCGTGGCGCCACGTGCCCGCGGAGAACTCCGAGACCGCCCGCAGCCCATCGGGGAAGAGCGCGCCGAAGCGGTCCCGCCAGCGGGTGATGCAGCCGCGCAGGTGCTCCTCCACGACGACGACGGACGACGACGGACGACGACGACGACGGACGACGACGACGACGACGACGGATGACGACGGACGACGGACGGTCGACGGCGGCGGCGACGACGAAAACGAGGAAAACGACGACGACGACGATGGCGGCGGCGGCAGCGGCAGCGGCGACGACGACGACGACAACGACGACGACGACGTGCTCCTCCACCTCGCCGCGGGGCGTGTCGCACGTCCATGCGCACACGGGCTGGCCGTCGGCGCCCTGCTCGTCGCACCCGTTGCACTCCGGCTCCCAGGTCCAGTACTTGTGGCGGTCGATGACCGCCCAGCTGCTCCTCTCGTCTGCCGTGGTGTGCTCTGTCCACCACGACGGGAACGTCTGCTCGAATCCCTCGTTCATGTTCTTGAACGCTGTCTCGACGACATTGATATACAACTTCATCCCCGTTTGGGGTAGAGTTGACCATCTGAACAAATCGGTCGCCCGCCCAACCCAGTCCAACATCTTGTCCTGCTCTGCCCAACCCTCCCCAACGCTCAGGTGAGCCGGCTCGTTCATCAGGCAGAGCCCTGCTATTGCGTTGCGCTGCTCACGGCTGAGTCCTTCTTCCACCCACTTGATCAATGCCTCCACGACCCAAATCCCTGCCTCCGTGAGAGGTGTGCTCGTGTTGCCGATGTTGAAATTCGCCTGCCAAAACTGTGGCGCGCTTGGCCAGACGCCAGTGTAAGTGCCGTTGGAGGAGCCACCCATGAAGGCGTGGATGTCCCAAACAACCTTGATACCGTTCTCGCTCGCGATGTCCAAAATTGATCGCATGAAATCACGGGGAATCGTCGCGAACGCAAGCTCATCAGAGTAGAAAGGATCGGGCACGATGACGGTATCCTGTCGGGGACGCACTGACCCAGGTCATCGCTAACCCAGGTCGGCCGGAGCCGCGACGCGAAACTGGGCCGGCTGCGAAGTAGCTCCCACACCCAGGCACGCCCAGGTCAGGAGAGGGCCACAAGGGGTGCCCGGCTCCGCCTGGATTCC